TCTAAAATTAAGGGACCCCCTTCTTGTCGCATCCACACAGGGCACCGTTGTTAGCAGTGCCTTATGAATTCTTGCAGAGAATTTCCATATATTTATATGCACTACGTTTTTCTTTTCCATGAATAAGGACTATACTGTATGCTATACTATGTATACTATTTTGCACATAGCTTTTTTCACTTAATGATTTGGCATTGCCACATTTCTCTATTTGCATGCAAGTACCCACCTCACTGATTTTAAAGGGTGCCTGGGATGGCATTGTGTGGTGGACCATCATGCATATAACCTGTCCCATTGATGGGCATGGAGGTCATTTCCATGGTTGTTTTGTTGTTGTTGCCATTTTATTTTAATTAATGAATTTATTTATTTTTAGAAATTTTATTGGGGAACAGTGTGTTTTTCCAGGACCCATCAGCTCCAAGTCAAACAGTTGTCTTCAATCCAGCTGTGGAGGGTGCAGCTCACTGGCCCATGTGGGAATGGAACCGGCAACCCTGGTGTTATGAGCCTGTGCTCTAACCACCTGAGCTAACCGGGCCGCCCCTTGTTACAATTTTATTTTCTTATTTTTTATTTTTTTATTTTAATTTTTTTTAGCTGAGCCATCCTGCCACCTGTTGGCAGCTCAGCGGCAGCTCAGCTTGGGCCAGGAATCGAACCGGCAACCCTGTTGCTCAGCGTTCACACTCTTGAGTAAGCTCTTAACCAACTGAGCCATTCTACCGGCCCCCCTTGTTACAATTTTAAACAGTGATACAGTGTATATACATATTTGTGCAAATGCATGAGCATATTTTCAGCATAAATTCCTACAAGTGCAACTGATGGTTTGGCGCATCTTGTGTTTTAATGGACATTTTCCAATTTACCTTCCCATCCACCAGGTATGAGAACACCTGCTTCTCAAACCTTCACAACAGTGGCTAGTATTGTACATTTTAGTCTTTGAAAACCCACTTTGACTTTAAACCTTCTGGGAGCTTGGACAAAAATGAAGCACTGTACTTTTATATATGACGCTTTCAATGTTTCAAACTGTTTTCTTATTGATCCCATTTAATTCTCCAAAAAAATCTTGAGGCAAAATGCCTCCTCCTGAAAAGAATCTAAGAAACCATCATTTCCTTTTTCCATGAAAGAGTAAATAGAGAAGTGATATGATTTTCTCAGTGAGAAAAATTTAGACAAAAGAAGAACTCACGGTTTTAGCTCCCCCCCCCAGCCTCACCCCTCAAGGCCCCGCCCACTCAGCAGCCTCCGCCCCACCCCCACAGCCCGGCGACTCAAAGGCTGCTTTCTAACCAGTACCCTGGGGAGGGGTGTGGATATACCCTGCTCCCTCCTGAGGACATCTGACCTGAGCTCTGTTTCTGAGGGGAGCAGGGACTGACTTACTCTCCCCCAGGGAGGGGGAGGAGACAGATGGTGGGAAGGGGGGCCTGTGGTTGCAGCTGCAGGGCACTGTGGTCAGATGGCTAATCGGGCAGCACCCAGTACCCAGGCAGGGCTCCGTGGCTGTCACCTGAGCTGACCTGGGATGGTGCACCTTGGCACAGTCTGGTGCCCTTTCGCTCTGACTTTGATCAACAGTTCCAGCCCTGATCCCTGAATGCCTACTTCCCTCCTGCCCCCTACACTCCCTTTAAAGGATGTTATCATTGTGTGGAGGGTAGAAGCTGGGTGCTGACCCACAACTTGCTGGGGGGAGTGGGGGTGCCCCTTTAGCAATCCCTCCCTTCCCATCTGTCACACCCCATCCCAGGCCCTGACACCCCCACAAAGATGATGGGGGTGCTGCTGGGCCATATGCTCTGCCCTAGTTGCACTACCCTGAGTTTTTAAATGTGTTCTTTAAAGGGGGCTCTGATTGCAGCCCACCCAGAATCCATGCACCTCCCTGCCACAACCTCACTTTAAAACTCTAGACCTGTGCTGTCCCGTAGGTAGCCACCAGACACGTGGCCTATTAGATGTGTGTATAACACACACATATGGGGGTCTAAAGACTTAGAGAAAAAAGAATGTAAAGTAGCTCAATAATTTTTTTTTAAAGATTTTTTATTGGGGAATTGGGGGGATGGGAACAGCGGTGGGGAATTGGGGGAAGGGGAACAGACAAGTTGTTGTCGTTTTGTTCCTCAGTCTAGTTGTGGAGGATGTTGCTTCACTGGCCCAAGTTAGCACCATCATTGCGCTCTTCCTGGGTGAGGCAGATCAGTCGCCGGCTTCTGGACGGTCGCTCACTGCGGCTGCTGGCTGCTCACGCTGGCTGCTGGCTACACATGGTAGCCCATGGCAACCCACTGCCACAGGGGCTGCAGCCTACCCCGTCGCCGGCGACCCATGGCAGCCCAGCTCCAGGTTGAGCTGTTGTTCAGCATCTTAGCTGTGGAGGGCAGTGTCACTGGCCCTCAGATGTGGGATCCAAACCGGGGCCCTCTGGCATCCCAAGCATAACCATAGCGCCACTCGGCCGGCCCACAATAATTTTTTATATTGCTTACCTGTTACAGTAATCATATTATGGATCGATTGGGCTAAAATATATTAAAATGAATTACACCTGTTTCTACTGACTTTTAAAAATGTGGCTACTAGAAAACTAGGTGGCAGATGTGGCTCAAATTCTATTTCTACCGAACAGCGCTGGTTTAGACACCTTGTGCCTTACCCATCATCTTTGTAGCTGCTTCCAGTCCCACCTGGAAGGAGGTCGGGTATGAGGGAAGGAAGGAAAGAATAAAGCAAGAAAGGGAGAGAGGAAAAGAGGGAGGGAGGAAGATGTTTCCATCTGGGGAGGTGACCTGGAGTCAGGTCTCAGTACTGCTGGATGGTTAGGCCACATTGGGCAAGTCACCTACATTTCTGTGAGCTAGAATTTCCTCATCGGTAAAACAGAGGTAATAGTTGCTTGACAGGAGTATTTTGAGGTTTAGAAATACCCCAAAATCACCCAGCGCAGTGACCAACCTGGGTGACTTGCTCAGTGGCGTACAGTATTTTTCCACCTGCAGCACCTGAGCCAGCACATGATAGGTGCTTGAGAAAAGATTTTGAACCCACGAATGTTTGAGGTGTGAGTGGGAGGTAGTCGCCTACCCAATCTGTTGTGGATGATCTCATCCCCATCTCTATGTGCCCACCTGTGGGGCTGAATGGAACCACTGTGGAGTCACCCTCCCCCACCCGGATCTTTCCTGCCAGGTTGCAGCCCCTTCACATGTATTCCGTGTGCTTGCTGGTTGCATTGTTCTCCCTCGCTCCCTGGGGACCCGTCTGGGAAGTGCCCAAGTTCCACCTGGACAACTGCCGGCAAGCGTGGTGGACAAATTTGCTGCTACTCAATAACTTCCTGTCTGTCCAGAACTCGGTGAGTCCCAAGTTGTTGTCTGTGAAGGGTGAGCCATCCAAAGGTGGTGTCTCATTTCACATGGTTTGGTCAACGTTCCAAGGGCAAGTCCAAGTCTGGTCCCCTTTCTTCTGGCATATCCTCTGGAGTAACAGTGATGCTGTAGGATGGTGGGCTGTGGGCAGGGAGACTAGCCTCCTGTGATGGGGCAGGTGATACTGCAGCAGTCTTGGCAGAGGCAGTAGCTGTGAAAAGCAGGGAGGGAGCAGGTAGTGGGCACTGAGGGGCCAACCACCTAGGTGAGTGTTCTGGGTGCAGCTGACCCTGCTCCATCACAGCTCCTGCTCCAGTCCATGTCCCCACAGGGAAAGACACCGTCTTCACCCCCACACAGAGAGCCAGTAATGGAATGGAACATTGCACCACACCCTCGCCACAAGGAATTCTATTTCATTTTGAGCCAGACCTGACAGGGCAACACATCTGTATATGCGGCTTCCCTAAAGCCCTAATTTCCTCATAATGAACTTGGAGCAAATGGAAGTGGAATAGCTGTAATTAAATCATGTCACTGATTTTGCACATGCCTGGAAGTACAGCTGAAAAGAGAATCGCTAAAGTGTGGCTAATTGTCGCCCATAACCACTTACTAAATAGATGGCTGCCTTCCCTTCTTCCCAAGGTCCCTGCAGCTTCGACAGGGCGTACATCACCATCTAACTGCCTTCGAGTGGGCCCAGGTCTGTGACAGGGCCCACCTGGGATAGTCTGGGCTGCTGGCCCAGATGTAGATGGCTGGGACCACAATCCAGTTGCCTCTCTGAGGTAAAGCCCACCTTCAATCCTCGGAAGCAGAGGTGTGAGGGCCATCAAGCCCTGAGTACCCACTGATTTCCCCACCATGGAACTTGTCTCTACCTGAGACAAGGAAAGCAGCTGTCATTTCTGTTGGGCAAACCTGGTCTCCTTTGGACGGAGGGGTGGGAGGGGAGACCACAGGTCTTTTATCGCTAAAGCACTGGACAGAATTGCTCCCAGGAATTTCCTCACGTTGAAGAAGAAATACAGGTAACTGCCTCATTTCACACAAACATGTTCAGCCTGTTTGAACCATGTGGCTTTGCCCAGACGATCTTACGTCAATCATGCGTGGGAACTCTGGGTTTCCCACATAACTCGCCTGGAGCCAGGTCTCTGTTCTAAATGGAAACTCTCTCTCCACTAAGAGTCGGGCTGGGGAGGGCGGGCAAGGTAAGGAAGAGAGGACAGTGACCCTTCTGACCCTGACCACACCGCAATGACAATTATTCCTTACATTCATGTAACAAGATAGAGTTTAGTTCCCACAAGTGTCCTAGGAGATCAGCTATTATTAATACTTTTTAAAACAAGAGAGAAACGTGTCTGAATTTCCATTTTGTAAAATGGAACCTACCGGGCCGGCCGAGTGGCGCGATGGTTAAGAACTCGCTTGGGATGCCAGAGGGCCCCGGTTCGGATCCCACATATGAGGGCCAGTGACACTGCCCTCTACAGCTAAGATGCTGAACAACGGCTCAACCTGGAGCTGGGCTGCTGTGAGTCGCCAGCGACGGCGTGGGCTGCAGTCCCTGTGGCAGTGGGTTGCCATGGGCTACCGTGTGTAGCCAGCAGCCAGCGTGAGCGGCCAGCAGCCGCAGTGAGCGGCCGTCCAGAAGCCGGCGACTGATCTGCCTCGCCCGGGAAGAGCGCAATGATGGTGCCAACTTGGGCCAGTGAAGCAACGTCCTCCACAACTAGATTGAAGAACAAAACGACAGCAACTTGTCTGTCCCCCTTCCCCCAATTCCTCAGCACTGCTCCCATCCCCCCAATTCACCAATAAAAATCTTAAAAAAAAAAAAATGGAACCTACCATCCAGGCTTCTTACAAGGATTTTAGATGAGATGAGGTATATGAAATATCTGTAACTCAAAATTCCTTTCTCTTCCCGTGGAAATCCCCCGTACCTGCCTCCCGAATTCCTCCTCTGGTCCAGGAAGGGAGGACGTTGCGGGGCAGATCTGGTAAATGATGGAGTGAAGTTAACTTTCTTCTGTTTTCAGTGCATCGGCTGGACGTGGTACCTTGCTAACGACTTCCAGTTCCATCTCACAACACCAGTGGTCGTCTTGGTTCATGGAAAGTGAGTCTCATCGGGCAAGGTTTCTCCCCGTGTAGCCCCTGTCACAAAATCCTTAGAGGGTGCTTCTGTGTATGGATACAACACTAAACATGCCTGACCTCAGAAGCTAAGCAGTGCTGGGCCTGGTTAGCACTTGGATGGGAGCGTCCCAGCTCTGGGCAGGGTAGCCCTTAAATTTTAGGGTATGCACTTTTCAAAAGAGTTTGGAATGGGGACTCCTCCACTGGTTACCTTCTCCCACATTCTCCTCCCATCTTTGTCCCATGCACATCAGTCACTGTTTTTGCAGAGTCGTAATCAGTGTGTATGTAACATCTCGTGCTCAGCTTTTTCCATTTAACTGTTCTCATAAACATTTCCACATATTGACATGACCTGCGCACTTGCCAGGTGTAGGGTTTATATACCATTTTTATGGTTGGGCATCTAGATTGTTTCCAATTTTTCAAGATTATAAATGGCAGTAGAGTGAATGTCTTTGAACACACTACTTTTTCTCTTAGTTATTTCCTTGGGGACAATCACGCCAAGTGGAGTTACTCGGTCAAAGGGCAGGAACGATTTTGTGGTGCTTGTTACGCATCGTGAGATTGCTCTCTGGAAATAGTGAAGTCATTTACAGCGTCCCAAGCAATACATCAGCGTACCTGCTGTTCCCCATGGGACATTTATCACCTGAATTTTTGTTAGTTTTAGAAAAGCTTGAAGGCCTCAATAATTCATGGAGAGACTTATAGTTTGTGGATTACCCAAGCCATATTTTAAAAGATTTATTCTTCTCATTTGTTAACATCTGTGTTCAATTTAAGAACATTGGGGGGAAAAACATTAAAAAAACATTGGGATGAGCCCAGGGGATCACAATCACCCTGGACCCATTACATCTCCTTCAAGGAGAGGCAGATTTCTTGTCAATATTTTGGTGTGTGTCCTTCTGATCTTTTTTTCTGCACAGCTTTTTATACATAAAAGGGTTCTGCATATACACTTTAGTATCTTTCTTTTAACAGTTTTATGATTTCCCTATATTATTTTATTTTTTTAAGTAAACATAATTTTGACATCTGTATAACATTCCATTCCATGAATGAACTATAGTTGACTTACACCTCCCCCTATTGTTAAATACTTGGGTTATTTCCAATTTTGTGCCTTTATAAATAATAGCCTGATAAATGTTGTCATGGTAACCATGTCTCTCCAACCCCAATGTTGCTTTAGAAATACCCTTAAGAAGAATTGCTGGGTCAAGGGGCATATAAATGTCTTTTGGGGTCTTGAAGCATAATAACACATTGCTTCCCTTAAATGTTGTGTCAATCAATACTCAGTCCTCTGGCCATCTAATAACACCATTGCCAATATGGAATATTAATAGTAAAATAAAACAAAATGCAAACTTTATTATTTTGATACATAAAAAGAAGCCCTCATGTTTCACATCCAACTTGTAAGTGTTTGATTATTAGGGGGCAGAGCTGAGTTCCAAATATGTGTTCGCCAGCTCTGTCTCGTGGTTACATTTCATGCCCTGTGGAAGGCACACATTTAAATCTTAGGCTGGCCTGCGATGTCACCCATTCAGGTCACATGCAAACAATGAAGTTCCTGGGCAAGGAAAATGCATCCTAATGTTTTTAATTTAAGAACTGAGCATTTAAAAAAAAGGCAAAGCTGCTTTTTTACATCTATATCTTAAACACACAAAGCCTTCTAATTGAAATGTAAAAGATTTTTCGGCTGGCCATTAAAAAAATTGTTCCATGGCTAACCAGTAAGAGGCGATTTGCTACTATAGTGAGTTTGAGTCAGAAGATGTGGGTTCAAAGCATGACAAGTAAATGACTAGCTGGGGGACCCAGGGTAAGTTGCCGGACTCTTACTGTCATTTTTCATATCTGTGAAATGGAGATGAAAACACTTCACGTCAGGGATGGAGGATAAAGCGAGATCATACATATGGGAACCAGCTCAGTGCTTGCTTGTTTGTGATGTGCATCCACATGTGATCTCAGTCACCTGTCCTTTGAGATCCCATGTAAATGCCATTGTCCCCAGTCACCACCCCCAAGCAGTGGCAGCCCCTTACCTTTCCTGGTCTCTGCAGGTACTGGGAGAAGGGTCGCTGGAGAACCTGCTGAGTGTCTGCTCAGCTGGACCTGTTCAGCGTTGGCCATCTCACTGTCTTCTCTGCACCATCCCTATTCCACAGGGGGCTCCCTCTCTGTGCAGCTCGTCCCCCTCCTTGAGTCCCCCTCTCACCACCCTCTCTGGTAGATATTGGTGTGGAGCAGATATTAATGAAGGCTTCCTGGATTGGAGGTTTTGCATTCTTCTTTGGCTCAGCCTGACCCCTTCTCACACACTTCCGGCTTCACCACTTCTCAGTTCCTTCTCCTCTGAGGGGGCGGTGGGGAGATGAGGTGACCATGAACAAGTACCCTGTCCTGGGGAGTTGGATGTCTGTACCTATATGCATTACTACAGAAGGAGGGAGAGGTGAGGCCCAGGTTCTCCATTACTCATTCCCCCAAACAAAAGCATCTTAATCTCATGTCTTATTTTCTAGGGGGGCAGTGGGAGAGTGCAATTTTTGATAGCATACTAGAACTGATAAAAGCATATGAGATTCACTATGGAAATAAGATCTGATAATCACATTGCTGTTGATTTTGGGAATAAAGCTTAAAAAAAAAAAAAAGCTCTGATCATCCTCTTCTGGAAAGACCTACCACCCCATGTCTACATTATTTATACCCACATCTCCCCAGGATGAAGCCACTGAGAGTGGAGGCAATCAGTAATTAGTGCGATCTTCACCCTTCACCCCAACACGGAATCAGGCAAGGAAGGCCAGGAGTAGATGAGGTGCCTGTGGGGTGGACGGTGAGCAAGGTCCCCACCTCAAGCCCCTGAGAGGGGCCGGCTGATCCCCTGGACCACTCCTGGGTCACTGATTCCTCCTGCTCCCAAGAGGAGGGGCTCCCTGAGCGGGAGCTGAGACACACGCAGGCCTACTGGGGCTCTACTTGGCGTGGACTCTCCCTCTTGCGAGAAAGTCAAACCCTCAGAGCTCCCTCAGGGGAGGGGGAGCAGCTGGGCCCAGCAGAGTCAGGGCTGGCCAGTTCTCTGGGGCTGTCACAGTCTGTGACGGGCTACAGCCCCTTGACGGGCTCTGGAGACCACAGCCGGTGCCTTCAGATACAGATGGGGCAGGTGCGAAACATCAGCAGGCTCTGCAGCCCTGGAAGAGAAGAAAGGGCCGGTCTCTGCAGGCCTCCTCAGAGATGGCATTTGCAGGAAGATGCTCTGACTGCCGGTCTGTGTATTTAGTGAAGGAAAAGCAAGAGCAATCCCGGCAAGGATGCTGGGGGCGGACAGAGGCCTTCGAGGCAGCCCAGAATCTTCTCAGACCAGAGGGACATACGCTGTTCTTCCTTCCTCCTCGTGGACGACAGTCCCCAAACGGGCCTTCTGAAAGACCAACACTCCTGAGAGAACGGGGCCAGTGATCAGGGCTTGAAGCTCTGGGCCTTTCTCAACCTCATGGTCCTGGGAGCAGTTCCCTCAAAGAGCCAGGAAATACAACCGTTAACCTGAGCTGGCCGAGGGAACACCTTGGCACCAGGCCATGGGTGCTGTGGCCAAAGGTCCTGCTTAGCGACTCGGGGGCTCAGGAGGATGAAGGACTAACAGAAGGGAGGGTGGGGCATGTGTCACTCTCTCCCTGTCTGGTTGTTTCGGTATCTCTGTGTATTAGTTTGCTCGGGCTGCCATGACAAAGGACCACAGATGGGGTGGCTTCAATAACAGGAATTTATTTTCTCATAGTTCTGGAAGTTACAAGTCTGAGATCAAGGTGTCCAAGGGTTGGTTTCTTCTGAGGCCTCGCTCCTTGGCTTATAGATGGCTGCCTTCTCCCTGTGTCCTCACATGGTCTTCTCTCTGTGAGTGGCTGTGTTCCAATCTCCTCTCCTTATAAGGGCACCAGTCACATTGGATTAGGGCCCATCCTATATCCTCATTTCACCTTAATTAGCTCTTTAAAGGACCTACCTCCAAGTAAAGTCATATTCTGAGGTGCTAGGGGCTAGAATTGGGGAGACACAATCCAGCCCATACCAGCCTCTATCAGGAAGCTTTATTAGTTTGGTTACAGCAGTGGTTAGCTAGTGGAGACTTGTCTGACTCCTAAGAGAAGCTGCCACACATTGAGCTCAAGTCCCCCAGGGAGTTAAACAAACTTTTATGTGGGTGAATGTGGGTTTTTATTAGATGGCCTGACTGGATGGTTTACTTCTCACCTAGGACGATCAGTTCTTAGTACCTCCCCACTCTACACCTGGCAGGAACCTGCTTGAATGTCCTTGTGACTGAGGAGACCTGACTCCAATGTCACCATGTTTCCTAGAGGCTGTAATATTATAGAAGGCAGATTTCAATCCCTCAGCTAAAAGACAGCACTATCCAAGCTTGTGACTCTACAATTACATTGAGCTTTTACATGGAGGGTGGGATGAAAGGTAGGCTTTTTTCCTTCAGAGGACGCACTCATAGAATGTCAGTAATTGAAGGACAGAGCCAGAGGGTCTGGCAAAAGGCACAGTAAATAGACAGCATAGTTACCCTGCCTCCCTTACCCATACTCAAGGCCGACATTACTAATCAATCACAGCACTATTGAGCTCAGACTCCTCCTTTCCATGCGTTAACACTAATCTAGAATTGGCACTCTGGATGAAAATCATTTGCCCCCTGTATCACTATGGTGATAACTGAATGGTATCTCATCCCTTCCTCATGAAGAACCACGGCAGCTTCAAGCAGCAGAATAGGATTAGCAAAAGCATCAGCCAGGCAGGGTTGTACCTGGAAGGTCTTGCACCTATGTTTGACATTTCTCCTATACCACTGCAGATCCTCTTGGTCCCAAGCCCCACAATTCTCAGTAGGTACAACCGGACAGGGCTTCTCTCTGAACGTGTGTCCCTAAACCTCCTTTCCTGCCCCAGAACCTCCGACCCTATACCTGAGACTCTTTCAGGAACCCTCTCAGCCTTACACATGCACAATCCCAAAGTGTGGAGGAATTCATTGTTGCGAGGTCACCCTTGACCCACAGGGGATGGAAGACAGTAGGAAAATGCTTCCCTCTTTCATCCCCCAGGACAGTTTTCAGGTCATTTCATAAGGCTCTGCAGAATGTTCTGGAAGAATTGAGCATTGGCCACTTGGATAGCTCATCCTTGCATTGACTTTCCCTGCGTCCCTGTTTCACCATCCCTCATTTCCACCCCCACAGGTATTTATCTCAGACTCTGCATCTGGGTGTGTGTGTGGGGAAGTCCCCAGATCCCCCTCCCTTGTGCCTGGAGTGGGTACCTGTGCACCCAGGGTCCCACCCTTCCTCTCCCAGTTCATTTCTCTCCTAAATCAACCACCACTATGTCCATATGGTGCTTCATAGGTGACAAGAGATGTTCCCAAGCATGGTCTCATTTTGAGTTGCACAGTAAACTTCAAGGTGAGGCAGGTAAGGGTGCCTTGACTATTCCTTTCTAGACAGGAAACTCAAGGTCATGGTCAAGGCTCTGCCCAGGGTAGTGCAGCTAGTAAATGGTCAAGTCTAAAGGCTAACTCTGGTTCTCCAGTTCCAGCCCAGCTATCACTCCACTCAGCCACAGCGGCCCCCATATTAGCCTGTCTCAAAGGCAGGCCTCGCAGGAAGCACCTCTGATTGCCAAGGTTTCAAGTCTTTTGCGTCCACAAATTTTGCGGTGAAGGAAACTGAAGGGCACTCCTGTCCATTCCTCTCTTCTTTGCAGAAGTAAACATGTCCTTGTCCTCCTCGGGGCCCTGCTGTTCTTGGCGTCTTTCACGGCCACTGCTCTGCTCACATGGGCTCATGACCTTCCGGTGCCAGATCCGTCAGAAGCAAGGTAACCGCGGTTCCCAGGCTACCCGGCTCTGTGCCTTTTCTGCCCTTACAACGGCCAGGACCTCCCAGGGAGGGCTGCTGAAGGAATGCCAGGCGGTTTGCACCCTGTGCTCATAGGCTTGTAGAAAAACTGGGAGGGAAATGTTTGGCCTGGATGGGAAAGTTGATTGCACTTTTGTTTCAAACTTCTGAACCTTTCAGCTTGTGCTGGGGGGGTCCTCTCGCCACTGAAATGCTTCTCGGAGGAAAGGAGCGCCCCCACGTGGCTGTATTGTATTTCTTCTCCAGTGGCAAACTGCTGCTGGGAGGCTCTATGGCTGGAATGGAGAGACTTGAGACTTGAGGAAGTTGGGGTTACTCTTTCAAGGTCACACGGCTAGTAAATGGTAAAGATGTCAGTTGAACCTAGGACCTTACCCACTATGCTATTTTGCCTCCCAGTGAGGTATGTATAACAATTCTTCCTTTAAAACACCCTGTGTATTATTATACAGGGAAAACTGATACATGACCTGTAAATCTGTTCTCAATGCAGCAGTCAGAGTGATGCAAATGAAAATTAGATCTTGTCAGTCATCTGCTCAAATTCCTCCAATGGCGATCCACTGCTCCCCAAATAGAATCCCCATGTGACCTCATCCATCGCTCCCCTACTTGCCGACTCTGGACCAGCCACGCTGGCCTCCTTACTTCCACATGCCACGGCTGCTCCCTCCTCAGGGCATTTACACTTGCTGTTCCCTCACACTAGAATGCTTTTCCTTTGGAATGTAGATCTGGGCAGGGCTTGCTGCTTCACTTCCTACAGGGATCTGTGCAAACGTCACCTTCTCAGAGCAGCCTTCACTGCCCTCCCAATGTAAAACAGCTCAATCCGTGCCTGGTACCTATCTAAGTGCTCAATGTGTGTTTGTGAGTGAAATGAATGAGTGAATGAATGAATGCACCCTAGGCCTTTTGACCTGGCGAGCATTGTGCCCTTCCATCATGTTACTGGCCTCTGTGGGCATGGCCAGGTGACCGAGAGGAGGTTCACTTCTGTCTCGCCTAGTGGTCCTCCACTCTGGATGTACAGGAGAGCCCTGTGGGGGGCTTTTAAATCCCACTGGTGCTTCCAGAGAGCACCATCTCAGCCCCAAAAGAACCAGACTCTCCAGGGGCGTGGCTCAGGCAACTGAATTTTATACAAGCTTCCAGGAAGAGAGTCACTTCTTTCAGAAGAGGTTCACTTCTAAGAGCCACATTTTTAGAGTCATCCTGACCTACCAACCACCAGGAACAACTATTGACAATCAATGCAGGCATCCTCTGTCCTTGGGATCCGGAGTGAAGGGGCCCAAGGGAATTTTGGATCCTACGGCAGGATCATGGGGTCACTGTTTGGTGATTGTTGCTGTGGAAATGAACAAATGCACCCCCAATTTCCTTTGGATCTGCTGTCTCAGTGAGTATCTGAGAGACTCGCTTTTCCATATCCAGACCAAACATAACCCTTTGTCTTATTTCCTGTGTTTTTAGTGAGAATGCGACTGCGTTGTATTTCTTGGAGTACTACACTAAGCCCTACTGCAGATTTGGGCCATTCCTCGTGGGCCTCTTTCTGAGCATTTTCATGCACCAAAACCACCAGGCAAACATTCTCCGAAGCAAGGTAAGGTTTCCCCCTGCCTCACTGGAAGGGCCAGGTCTGGTTGGGCTGGGGGTGACCCATGTGGCCAGGCTGTTACAAAGCCACGGGCAGGAGCACTTCCTTGGGCTGTGGTGTGCTAGTGATGTCTCGGTACTAGAGAATAAGAGGGACCTTATCTTCTTGCTAGAGCCTGATTCTCGTTCCTTCATTGAACTCTCCTAAGAAAACTCCCGACCTGGAACCCAGTGGGGTCCCCTCCATCAGAGCCTCGGTACAGATCCAGGGACACCACCGATAGGGGAAGACACACCCAGTGAGATTACAGTGGTCATGAGATTACTTTTAATAACATATGCTCTTTGGTTTCGATGGCCAGGATTCTTGGTCATATTTAATGGTTCCATCTGAGAGTATCAGAACGTAAGGTGCCTACAGGGAGAGCAGCTATTACTGTGCCTTCTGGGGTGGGCCTTGAGCACCACAGTTCATTTCCTGGCTCCATTGCGAGTAGTCATTCTGGTTCACCAACAACCGCATTACTGTTGCTCAAGCTGGAAACCTGGATTCATTTGGACACCTCCTCCTGGTTGACCACTCCGCCCCATCCAACCAGCCACCAGCCCTGACAATTGCTTCTCCTGCCATCATTCTCTTAGCCTCTCCAACTGACCTTGTTGAAGTTTTTCTCATTTCTTGCCTGGACTTCTTCATTACTTTTCTTGCCTCCAGCCTTGTTGATCTCAAATCCATCCTTGGGCAATCTATTTAAAACATTACCTTGGCCTTGGTCTTGAGCTGTGCAAAACCTTTTCAGTGGCTTCTGTTGACCCATAAGACTGAAGGCAGGACATGTCTTACCCACTTCTGATTCCCCAGCACTTGCTTCTGAAATCCTGATTCACTGAAGGCATTCAATAAATGAATGAATGATAATTTGCTTCTCAGTGGAAGAAGGGCCGGGAACTCCTTGCACGACTAGGGTACAACGTCGGCCCCAAATTCCCTGTGCTGGGCCCCACCTTTGTTTGCCTAGGTCTGGTGTGTACCTCACCTAGACATTCCAGCGAAGGCCCTGGTCCTTGGAAAATCTTGTGGTACTCACGCCAGGAACAGGAGATAGGGCTTAATTGGAAGGAATGGCTATACAGGGGCTATGTGGCTTTTCCAATAGGGCCGAGTTATGATATTACCCTGAAATGCACAGTTCAGTTGTAAATTACAATGGGGTGCCATGAAAGAGGTGTTTCAGGATAGTTCAGGTTACACGGGTGCCCGGGGAGAAAGTGGAAGACCTAAAATGGAGATGGAGCATTCGGGAACCACTTTGAGGACCAGGCTAGGGCCAGAGAGCGTGGAGTTGGAACACAGTCAAGCTGAGCTGGAGAAGCAATGGAGAGGGATGGGTCAAAACCTTTAGAAGCCAGAAAATCAGGGCACAGAGGCCCAGCTGGAGGCAGCTCGGGCATATGCCGTGTGCTAGGAATGAGGTACGGCAGTGTGCATTATCACTAATGGATGGAAGGGGATTCCCAGCTAAAAGAGGGGACTTGTGGAGAGCCCCTGAGGAGAGCCTCTTTCCTCCTCTGTAGCCAGAACTCAGGACATGAACCTGAGACCCCAGGAGGGGAGAGCTTCTCTTAGCAACAAGATTGTGGACGGATAAGATGCTAGTTCAAGTTCAATGTCAATGTCATCATAGGAGCTTGAGAACTGGGACAGAGAAGTAGGAGAGATTCTTAGAAGATACACCTGGGTCGGAAAAGGTCAGGTACGGTGGCATAAGATCTCAGATACTAAACTGAGCCCAGGAGTAGAATTTAACTCATGGGGCTATTCTTTGAGCTGAAAACGTCTCCATTCTCCTTCTGCCATTTTATGTCCCCAGTGAGCAGGGTGCCACCCAGGTAGGGGCTAACAGCCCTCACATTTGTGGTGCGGGCAGAACCAATCAAGAAACCTTTTGGTTAAGCGACAGAATGAGAGGCTCGTAGTGGTGGGAGTGGGTTAGAGCATTACCTGTTTTCTTTTCACTTTCATTTAAAAATAATTCAAGATTCACAGGCAAGTAGCAAAAAATTGCCCAGGAGGTCTCATGTCCTTTTGACCCAGGTTCCCCAGTGGTAACATGTTATGTAACTGTGGTACATTGTCACAACCAAGAAATGGACATTGGCACAATCCATAGACCCTAGATCCGCCAGATTTGTGTGCACCCATTTATGTGTGTGTGTACAGCTTCATATAATTTTATCAAGTGTGTACATTTGCGTAACCACCTCCACAGTCGAGGTACAGAACTCCTCTGTCACCACAAAGATCTCCCTGGTACAAGCTCTTTATGGTCACACACCCTGCCCTCCCCTACACTGTCCCAACTCTAACTGCTCATAACCATTAATCTGAACTTTCCATTTTAGTCAAATTTGGGCACTGATTGATGTTCACAAGTAGACACCTAAAGTGACCGTGATAACACACACAAAGGGAAAGGAAGTAAATACACAACGGCCCCAATGGGCTATGAATGGCATCTTTCCTCTCCCCATAGGTACAGGCTCTGCTGGGGTGGATTTGCTCCCTGTCCATCATGTTCGCAGTGGTTGCTCTGGCGTACGCAGTGGATGGCACCTCTGTCACCCCTTCAGTGGCAGCTGCTCTCTACCAGGCCGTCCACCGGACCCTGTGGGCAGTGGCTGTGGGCTGGGTCGTGTTTGCATGTCAGGAAGGCTATGGAGGTACGATGCTCGTGTGACTCACACTGTCCCTTTGAAGGTGACTAATGTGGAAACAGTGTACACGGAGGGGCTTTTATTTGCTGATGAGTGACTCAAAAACATCAATTTGTCCTACAGACCGAGTGCAAAGCCCAAAGCCCACATCCTTCATTTCTGTGCGATAGTTCCCTTCTCAGATATTTGATTATTCCATGGGGCTGGGAAAGCGGAGAGACCAGGAGACTCTACGAGGCTGAATAACAGTCCCCAAAGATATAAGGTCCTAATCTCTGTAACCCTGTAGATGAGATTAAGTCAAGGGTCTTGAGATGGAGAGATTATCTTGGATTATTCATGTGGACCTTAAATGCAATCTCATGTGTCCTACTAAGAGGGGCAGAGGGAGATTAGACTATACACAAGGGAGACAGGGTATGAAGATGGAGCAGAGAGATTTGAAAATACTGGAGTTGGTTGGAATGATGTGGCTGCAAACCAAGGAATGCTGGAAACTACCGGAAGCTGGAGGAAACAAGGGATGGATTCTCCCCTGGAGCCCGCAGAGGGAATGTGACTCTGCCAACACCCTGATTTTGGCCATGATACTGATTTGGGACTTCTGGTTCTCAGAATGAGGGGAGAATAAGTTTCTGTTGTTTTAAGCCACTGTGCTTATGCAGTTTATTACAGCTGCCATAGGAAACGAATCCAGAGCCATACAAAGTAAACACATTTATATTATAATTTCAGATGCAGATGAATACAGTGATTAAAAATAAAGCAGGGGTTGGAGGGTAACTGGAGTAGGGGCGCATTTGCAAATACATGGTTCAAGGGCCGGCCGAGTGGCTCAGTTGGTTAAGAGCTCGCTCAAGAGTTTGAGCTCTGAGCAACAGTGGTTCGAGTCCAGCCCGAGCTGAGCAGCCCCTGAGCTGCCAACAGGTAGCAGGATGGCTCAGCTAAAAAAACAAACAAAAAAACAAAAGAAGCAAATACATGGTTCAAAAGCATTCCAGGCAGAGGGAAATGACAAGGCAGGGGTCTCCAGACTGGAAGGAGCTGAGCAGGTGACAGAAATAACAAGACCAGTGAGCTAGGGATCAAGGGTCAAGGGTCAAGGGATGGGAAGGAGGACAGAGAGGAAGGTTGCAGACAGGTCCTGCAGGACCTCTGAGCTCCTGGGGAAGAATTTGGATTTTATTCTAAACACCGTGTGACATAATCTGATTTGTGATTTTAAAAGATGAATCTGGATGTTGGATGAATGAGAGCAGAGAGACCAATAGATCCATGAGGAAGCTACTGTCCGGTTCCATGGGGGAGGAAAGCAGGACTCACTGAGGGTGTTAACAGAGGAGGTGGTGAGACACGGTCAGCTGTGAGATATGTTTTTAAGAGAGATTGACAGCACTCTGTGGGGTGCAAGACAAAGAAAGGAGTCTGGGGTGGTGGCAACACTTTTGTCCTGAGCAACTGAGCTAGCAGTGCTCCACCG